TTCTTTCTTTCTTTCTTTCTTTCTTTCTTTCTTTCTTTCTTTCTTTCCTTTCTATCTTTTTTGGAGATAGAATCTTACTGTGTTGGTGAAGCCAGTCTTGAATTTGGAACTCCCAAACTCTTGGGCTCAAATTAAGTCTCTTCAGTTTTGAAAGTGCTGGAACCACACATACATGCCTCCAAGCCCAGGTCTTTGGAAAAGGTGTTATTTGCTGATTTGTTTTGGTTGTCGTTTTTATTGTTTTGAGTCTAGTTCAGTGCTACCAGGTTCCCCTTTCTTAAATAAACACAGAATTGCCAGAGCTCTGACAGGATGTCCAATTAACGCAGCACAGTTAAGGACCTGAAACCAAGCTCCACCTACCAGGGAAGCATCTGCCCTCAGTTATAATGTATGGCATGTCTGCATCTTATATTTAATTTTCAGAAATCTGGATTCATATGCATCTATGTTGAGCTTCATTAAAGAATTCAGTGATACATATGTGCCTAGCGAGCCCTCTGCCAACTGATCTACACCCCCAGTTATATGCTTGACTTTAAAGGAGAGGCATAAGGAGGCCAGATCTGGCGGCTCAGGCCATCTAAGTTACTCAAGAGGCTGATGCAGGAGGATCAAAAGTGCACAGTCAGCCTGAGCAACTCAGGGAGACCGTATTACAAGCTTAAAAATTAAGAAGGGGCTAAGAAGCTGGGTGTGGTAGCCATTTCCTGTAACATTATTTCCTGTAACATCCCGGCATTTGAGAGGTATTAAAAGTGATCCTCTGCTACACAGGAAGTTGAAGTTTTTTTTTTTTTTGTCTGTTTTTTAAAGATTTATTTATTTATTATGTCTATAGTATTCTGCCTGCATGTGTGCCTACGCACCAGAAGAGGGAACCAGATCTCAATATAGATGGTTGTGAGCCACCATGTGGTTTCTGGGAATTGAACTCAGGACCTCTGAGAGAGCAGCCAGTGCTCTTAACCTCTGAGCCATCTCTCCAGCCTGAAGCTGAAGTTTTTGTCTCAAAAACAAACAAAATGGCTGAGGTGATAGCTAAGTGATAGAGCACTTGCTTAGCATGTTTCAGGTCTTTGTTCAGTACCTAGCACTGCCAGAAAGAAAGAGGAGCCAGAAATATGGCTCTGAAAGTAAAGGTGCCTTACAATCTGAGTTTGATCTCAGGGACCAAGACGAGATTAACTCCCCATGAAGTCTTCTCACTTCAACATGTATGTCATGGCATGTACACACACACACACACACACACACACACACACACACACACACACAGAGGTAGACAGACAGACAGACAAATTTAAAATGAGAGGGAAAGGGGGAATCTCAATTAACAGGCCTCTCTCTGTCTCTGGTGCTGGCATTTGGAGCTCAGACCTCCTACCTAGTTTCCTCTTCCATTGTACTCTGCTTTTCACTTTCCCGATTAGTGTCCTCCAACTCCTGATTAATTGTCCTCTGGGAGACTCCATACTTCTGTTTTCACTTCCTGACCCTCTGAAATGCTAAATGAAAAAAGAAATTGTGTGTCCTGAGGCCATCATTAGCACATGTACCAGATCCTGTAAACATTTCAAAAGATAACATCACCTTGTGGTTAACACATTATAGAGGAATTAAGTGGACCAATTAGAAAACAATTGTCCCTTGTGGGAGAGGGGAAGCTGATTCAAATGAATAATGCTACAGGGCTCTGCAAATGGCCCTCACAGAGAACAGAGATTAGACAACTCTCTTGAGGAAACCTTGTGGGTTCTCTCCCTCCCAACCCCCTTCCGTGTGTGTGTGTGTGTGTGTGTGTGTGTGTGTGTGTGTGTGTGTGTG